ATATATATATATATATATATATATATATAAAATATGTTAAATATATTCACATATCACACATATCAAATAAATAAAGTTACGTAATAATAATTACGTAAAATTGATAAAAGGGATATGCTGGATACAATTTAATAAAAATGGGTAAATAATGTATGATAATATAGTTGAAGATTTTACTTGGCAGTTTGCACAAATTTTTACATCACTACACGAGAACAATCTGGAAGGAATGTTGGAAGGGATGCCTGTAATTACTGCGGTATCAGCTGTCTTAATAAAATTGTTGAATCATGAGATTTATAGAAAAAATGTACATAGATTTATAAATAAAAAAGAATCATGGTGTAGATAAAAATCTCAAAATCACAACTGTTTTCTAGTTCGAAAAGATGTTCGATATTATAAAAGAAGACTGGAAATTGTTAAATAATAGAAGTCAAGCGTGCATTCTTGAGGAAATTACTAAGCAAGGAAACAAAATTGGCGAAATATACAGAGGTAACTATTGCAACTTGTCTTTGATATCTATGCCTTTTATATAAATTTTATATTTATATCGAATACACTTTGATATATCATTTTTATTCATTTCTACACTATATTTTATAATCGGATATTGCTGATATTATTTTCAGTTTTTGTGTTATCATGTATGTCAGGATTTATATTTATTCCGTTGTATCCTATATTCATGGATATCATCTTACCGCTCAATGAAACTCGCCATCGGCAACAAATGTTTAGATTGAAATTCTTTATAGATGAAGAGGAGTACTTTTATCTTATATATTTTTATATTGTTTGGTGTACATTCACAACAGTCATGATTGCAATCACTATTGATTCGTTATATATACAACTCGTTCATCATGATTGTGCATTATTTGCTGTATGCGGGTAAGTAGACATATAATAATAATATATAAGAAACAGCTTAGTGTTATATGATGTAGAGAATGATTTCACGAGATTTCCCTTATTCCTTATTCGCTGTCCTTTATTTGCTACAGTATATATGATAAGTAATACATTTTCCAAAATTATTTCTATCTTGGATTCAATTTACCTAGCTTGTGCAAATAAAAATGGGCTTCGTTTATTGCGAATACTTATTAATAATATAGGGAGAACGTTATAACAGCCACAAGATCTACTGATGTTGGTATAAATGAAACTTACACTGAACGATTTAGGCAATGCTTGAGCATGCATAAGAATGCCCTCCAGTTAGTAACGACAAATTTGTAATTAATTTAATAATTAAAAGAATATAATAAAAAAAGCAGCGAAACAAGTTCGGTTGATTTGTTCAATTTTATTGTATTTTAAGATTATTCGAGATGCTAGATGTTAGCAGCCGTAGGAGTTACTTTTTTCAAATTTTACTGAGTATGGTTGGCATGACCGTAACAGCCGTACAAGTGAGAATTATTTTGCAATTATGAAAAATACTAACCGATCGGACATCCAGCATATTAATATCGTTTGATTAGGCTGTTGTAAATCTGCATCGACCCGAAGAAGCTCTTAGAATTAGTCTGTTCCTTGTGGGCCAACAATTCCATTTACTTATTATTACTCTACCTGGACAAGTGATCACAGATCATAGTTTCGAATTGACTAATGATATGTATGGTAACAAATATATTTCAATTATTTCGAAAATTATCATTTCGATGATATACATTTCTATCAATTGTATAATAGATACTGTTCGATGTGGTACAAAGTGCCAATAAAGATTCAGAAAATACTTCTCACGATGCATATGAGATCTAGTAAACCATGTAAGTTGACAGCAGGAGGAATATACGAAATGAACATCGAGAATTTTGGAATAGTATGTATTTAGATGTGTAGGATAGAATGGTATAAGTAATGGAATGATAATTAATAATAATAATTTAATATTTTAAGACATTTAAAACATGTGTATCGTACTTTACGGTGCTTCTATCGTTGAGAGACTGATTCGTTTTCGAAATGAATTCATCCTGTTGATAATCAGTTATTTATATGAATATGGCAATGTGTACCTATTTTATGTAGTATCATTAGTTAGATATGCATGCTGAGAAGCTGTATATGTAGATCAATGTATGGTACAATCAATAAATATACACATAAATAAAATAATTACTCTTCTTCGATATTAACGCTTGAACAACAATTTTATTTTGCTTTTTTACTTTGTTGTTTCAACAATCTCAAAATAGACCATCAAGAATTGTGCACGTTTGAACTTTTAGGAAAAACGTATGCTCACTTTCTCATCCGTTACATGATGTAATGTCATCCCCAAGAAAAACGAACTCATGACTATCAAAATAGAAGCCCTTTAAAATGAGATCAATATGATGAATATGATCTTCTTTTACAAAATTGTAGCAATTTAAATTATCCACAATTTTTCATTGTCATTGGTACAGTTATACTCTTTACTATATGTTTACTTTATGTATATATTTTACATATATGACATATACTATATACTATATATACTATATACTAGTATATATACTAGTATATTATATTATATTAGTATATTAGTATATACACAAGTATATACTATATATATATATATATATAAAACATAACACATAATGTGTATACTTTCGTGAGAGACTATATACTTATGATTACTTTTTTAATTCTTTTTATTATATATACAGAAAGCAGGTAAATATTCAAAATCCGTGAAGATTTGAGAAAGTGCATAATCATGCGCAATAAATCCATCGAGTTTATATCTATCAAATAACAATAAATTGTAATAGATTTTCAAATTCTTACTAAATATATTTAATTTCGTTTCCTCATTGCATTTTATGATATTTTAAACGAAACTAATCAATGTATAATAGCTACGTGATTATGGTTGGATTATTGGCACAGTCTCATATAGCCGTTCAAACAGAAATATTTATACAAATGAAAATATACCAAAATTTAAAAAATCATTAATCTAATCAATGGTTTTACTTTTGCAGATAATTTTTAATTTAGATAAAGAAAAATCATTTAATAACGCAGTATTTTTCGAAGGCAATCAGTTTTATTAGTTTATGCTAATTTTATTATTATTGGATTATTGTACCGAAACAGATATATCCAGTATCTACAAAATGTAATTATAGTAGAATCTCGATTATCAGAACACAGATTCATGAAAAAAATATAAATCTATTTATGTATTTTCTATTATAATCGGTCACTTTCACTTTTAGACTTTCAAAACCTGCATGTCATAGTTCACGATGATAATGTTATTGAAAGAATGAGATTATTGTTGCGTCTTATATTTGGATTAACTAAATATGAAAATAGTGCACTATACACACAGTACACAATAATGTTCGTTTGTCAGAAATGCAAATAAAGTTATGAATCACAATATTTATACGACATACTTTATCCGCAATTAATATTTAAGCTTCACTAAAAATTATTCTACTGGATTTTTTGACGCACTGATCACACAGTACATGCACATACATGCATATATTTAATAATATCCACATGTTGATCAAACAAGTAATAATTATTTTTGTATCACTCGTATCACGTAAATAATACGCAATCGTAATATTGATAGAAATTCCAAAGGTAGACATAACTTTTTTGGAAATTTAACTGCACTATAGTTTGGGAATCTTCTACCTGCCGACGTATGTTCAATGAACGCCACATTGTAAACGACTGAATTAATATTTTAAAGAAATTGTAGGTCTTGCTTTTCCAACAAAACGGACAGACAAGCTTCATACTTCGATCGCTGGAAAGGGTTGTTAACTGTTATACCCTAGTTATTTAATATTAAACTGGTACCTATCTGTCCAGTAAACAACCCATAGTCACATATTTAATGACTGCAATTTTAAGCTTGAAATAATATCGAGGGACAAGTATAACTACATCCAGCAGATGCACTTCCACGGTTGTTGGAAAAACATCTGTACGCTTCATATACAATCAATTCGTGTAGTTGCAAAGTTGCCTGTATTCATTAACAATTTCATTAACGATTTCATTAACAATTTCATTAACGATTTCATTAACAAGCCGTACCTTGGAAAGCATGGACAGTAAGAGAAAGGGATTCAATTTACATC